GTTAAATGATGATGATATATATATTAGTTAGATACACTTTGATCTTAAAAGAACACCCCAAGCACCATTTCATAGGTAAAAGAAGATACACTGTCCCATTCTCCCTCCATAGCAATTTGAAATGAAGGCAGCTGTAAGCACTAACACTCAGTGAGAGATGTCACACAATGATAGTAAAAAATAAAACAAGGTAGGCACACTCCAATGAAACATGCAAACGAGCCCCAAATGGAGCCCTGTAATGGTAAGATGTAGGGTGCTCACTTACATGAGGCTCTATCCCCAAGAGCCCAAATACATGCAAATACAAACTGAGTAAGGTGCACAACCATAAATGTCTACATACAAAAAAATCTTTATTCAATGGGTACACACTAACAATGTATCTTATTACATGAGGAACCAAGAAATAAAATCATAACATGTAATCAAGCAACAGCCAGAACAATTCTGGATATATATATAAACGCCAAATGCGTAATGCATGAAAAGCAAAATATCAGTATTATAGATAATAGAATAAGATACCCATTCATTCAAACCCACAAATGCAAATACATATAGAAGAAAATAAAGCAAGCATACCAGACCTAGTGAGAAGTAGGGACAGAGTCAATCACCAAAACACCCCCAACGTTTCGGCAAAAGTGCCTTTATCAAGGGGGTGTTTTGGTGATTGACTGTGTCCCTGCTTCTCACTAGGTCTGGTATGCTTGCTATATTTTCTTCTATATGTATTTGCATTTGTGGGTACATTGTTAGTGTGTACCCATTGAATAAAGATTTTTTTGTATGTAGACATTTATGGTTGTGCACCTTACTCAGTTTGTGTATACACAATGAATCTAATACAGTACTTCCTTTTTGCCTCCAAGTATCTGTACTTTGCACTCTGAGCAGGCATGTGCTAATTACCCCGATACCTGCACTAACAGTCTTCTCCACCACTTACTTTAAAGAAGCCATGGCTGGGAACATGCTTTAGAGCCCCATCACTTGATCTCATTAATAGAATTGGCATAAAGTTCAGAATTTCATGTCCTATAAACCCTTATTCAGCTCCAATAAAAATAGGAGCAACAGGATATACTAAGCCACATTTCTGGTATATGTCAAGAGCATCAAACGGCAAACCCAGTGGACAGTTTTTTTTATTATGTTTTAACTTTGTTTTCGAGTTGTTAACATCTGTATATCACAATAGATAACATCACATCATGACTTATAAGTGTAGAAAAGCATGCTTAATATCACAATAAAACACATTAATCTGTTAATCCAAGCAAGAATAATAGGAGGAATCTCATCATGGGGTAGGAAAGGGGAATGGGAAAAAGGGGCATTTATTTCAGGTCTCACATTTAGGTACCCAAAGAGAATTTTATATTGGTTAGGTGTAGGATCTCAAATTGGAGGATCCCATTTAAACATTTCCAAACTACACCATTTAATATTACTTAATTAAGAGTAAAATAATCATAATCTTATGTTGCATGCCCTGGCATATGTAGGTGATTAAGATGGACGACTTTGCAAAAAAACAATGTTGTTGCTTTGGTTTTATGTAGTGAGGTTACCGACCGATCTGATCAAATAATTTCAAAAATGTATTGAAAGCATTTGTAAATGAGGGTTTGACTGGGAAAATCCAATACTAAAGAATGGTTTTTCTCAGAGAATGTAACAAGTATTGGGTGCACCTTGTTTGTATCCAGGTGCCCTATTCTTCAAAGATACCAAATATAGTCCAAGAGGGTGCCACTTTAAATTGACACTTTAGATGCAGATTTGTGAATCTGAGACCATTTAATATTTTTAATATCTATCTAAAATTAAGAAACATGGATCACATTGGTTATTTTTGCACAACCCAATACTTGATTAGAATTACAAGGCCGTGTATTGGTAATTTCCTTTCCGACATATTTCTCTTTTTTATGATTTATATCTTGTGAGAGGCTGTGAAGGCTTAACATAGTATCCGCAGTAATGTTTGCATGTTAATGTTTGTTGTTTTCAGTTATGGAGTTACCAACATATACTTGGGTAAGTGAAAATGTTACTCTCACCAACTCAAATGTGACAGCTGGTGCCCCAAGAGTTGAAAAACATGGCAGGTTCTGGGTACTGCAGCAAACCAAGGCTACGCAGCATCATGCACAAAAATCATAATACATCAAACTAATAAAAGCTGATGGAGAAGAAACTGAAAAGGATGTGTGGAGTCTTGCAAGACCAAGAGGCTGAGAGGAGGAAATGAACTGATGAAAATAGAGAGAAGGACAGGTAAGAGAGACATTGAGGAAAATATAATAGGTCTAAAAAGAACAAAATAGGAGTAGCTAAAATGGGCCGTTAGAGGAAAACTGAAACAGACAGACACAGACAGAGCATAGAGTTCTATGCACTTTTACACACTACAGAGAGCTGTAGCGGTTATGTTGACAGACACCGCTTCGTGTGGTCCCCCAAGTAATACTCAAACTGTTGGTGAACAGTCTTCTTTTTGTGCCCACTCTCCATTGTGTGATTGGCTTATAGCTAGCAATTTGTAAAAATTCCCCCAGCTATAAGCCAGCCTCCCGTCTTCTGTTATTTCAGTTGGATGGAACAGTCAATCTGGATGCACAAGTAGGAAGAAACGTTGTTTCCTCCTTGGAGAGAGATGACCCACAGCTGTACGTTCAGGGACATATTCTGCCTTAGGGCAACTAGGTCTGGGTCTGGGGCTGCAAGGTGGAGAAGAACAGCAGGCCATGGTGTTCTTTTTATTATGATAATATCATGCATTAATATTAGGCGAATCTTTTTCAAAGCAGCTTCCTGTTTGCTTTAAACAATATACATGGGGATTGCCAACTGCGATCAACTCATTATGTATCCAAATCTGGAGAGAAATGATAGCCTGGAAGAGCTGGGGCAATGTAGCCCTGTCAGTGCCTCATGAAAATAAGCATAACTCTATGTATTTATGACATAGCTCACTTCCATGCAAATACTTGGGCAGCTGTATTTAAAAGAAATAACTTTCTGACTTTAACAAAGCTTGTTATATCCAAACTTGTTTAATACGATGTGCATCATAGCTTGCCTGCCTTAGTCGCAAAGTTAGCTAGACAGTTGCGTTACATTTCCTCAAAAATCAGACGTTTCCCATATGACATTTCGAATCTGAACATAGATGAGGTCCTAAAAAGATTCTCCAGTCACAATTTCCAAAACACTAGAACACAAGAACTGATATTTCGCCTGTATGTATACATATATTTTTAACATTTTATTTACTTAGTTTACATTAAAATTAGGGTTGTGTATGAGTTGCGTTTACTCTCTGTCACATCATGTGACACCATGCATTTTAGTTCATGGTAGAATCCAGAGGGCTGGAGATTAGACTGTGTGGAAAAGTATACAATTGGCTGAAAGCACTCAAAATATTATTTGCACGTTGTAGATGTTATATGTAGTTAATTTTATTTTGAATCCATAGCATTTCGAAGAGTGCACACACATAAATATAAACTCTAGTGTTCATTTATCACATCTGACTTGGGGGATTTCAAGCAGCTCCATGCCTTGAGCTCTTGGACAGAATTCCTTGCAGTAGTGATGATTTAGCATACAAACACCACCTAAAGAAAATTCCATAAATTGGACAATCCAAAACACAGCAGCACTCTATACATGTTTGAAGAGCAGGTAAAGAAACACTTTTACTTTAAAAACAAAATGTAACGTGAGTGTTCTTGTGTTAATTAAGATTACTGATGCCTTCCTCTTGTTATAAATATACTAGTTAAAAATTGCTATAAAACTTTCTTTTTTCAGGCCAAGCCCAGTCTCCAAGTTGCTGCTGCTGTTCCTCCACTGATGAAGTTATCAGTTTTGATTATTTTTGTCCAATAAAGTGTTTCTTAAGGGAAACATTGACGACATGTGTTCCATTGTGGCAATCACTGCAATCTGCCACATACAGACATACACACACACATACAGATACACACAGACATACAGACAGATATACACACACATACAGACACACAGGCAGACATACACACACTCACATACATATACACAGACACAGACAGACAGACATATAGTCAGACACACAGCAAGACCTACAGACAGACATACACACACACACACACACATACAGACACATATACAGACATACACTCACATTATGCTATATAAATGCTAATATTAAAAATAATGAACTAGATGAACCACAGTTTTTTTAATCTTTGCTTCATACCTCCTGCATTGGATCTTGTCTTGGAACCAAGAGGAGCAATAGGTCCCTTGCCTGATTCCTTCAATACTACATACGGCTGGCGGTGAGCTTGAATTTCTTTTCCATTGCTCAGTTTTTAGTCTTGAATCTTGAAAGGGCAAGTGTAAATTTGCAGCTCTGTACAAAATCAAGCAAACAGCCATGTAATGTCCCTAGACAATGGTCTTTATTATAAAGCGTATTGACTTTCAATGGGAACCCGCTATATGATGCCACCTTTGCATATAGAACTTATGATTTGCTTGAGCTGCCTTGTTATTGAGAACTGGAAATGTTCAGGGTCTACAATACCTGAGCCAAGAAGTGGAAGGCCGCTGAAGAAGGAAAAACATGAGTGTAAAAAGATATGAGCTGAGTACTAATTGACGGATACCTGCGTGCAACAATCATTTAATGCATAGCAGGTATGGACTAAAAAGAGATAAATGTTGTTGCTATAAAAGTGCACCATGCAGAAAATATACCTTCTCCCTTTAAAGCTGTTGAGCTCTCTTTTTAAAGCTCAAAGAGGAAATACAAACATTTGGAAACACTTAATTTGCTCAGAATGTTTACATAGACATTAATGTACTTGCAAACTATTTCCAAGAAATCTTATGTGACAGTTTGTGAACAAACGTGTCAGGCCTCATGCAAGAAAGGTTGATGCATCTGGAAGATTGAATTATCTGTATACCTGGAAATATTTGATGAGTTTCATGTAAGCAATTGATACAGTGTTCTGAAAAACAAGTTTGAATTGTGTAATTCAAAAGGTCAGGAATTGATGTATGAGGATAATAAACTGCTTTCTGTTTAAAACTTCCCTTGTGTCCCCAAACCTTTGGGGGCCTAAAACCTTATAACTTTTAATATGATAGATTGCTTCAATGTGTTTGGTTGCTAGACCCTGTTAATGGGATACTGTTTTTTCATTCTTATTCAGGAGGCGAAGGGTTAATAATACCACAAATGTCCGGTGGATTGTTTCTGATTCTGATAGTTAAACTGCAGCTTAAGGTAGTTTGTTCTGATGTCTACAGCCTGTCCATGCAGTCTTTTTAATGTAAACACTGCCTTTTCAGAGAAAAGGCAGTGTTTACATTACTACCTAGGAATACCTCTAGTGGCCGTCACTCAGACAGCCACTAGAGGTGCTTCCTGGGTCAGTGCTGGACAGTCTACCTTATGTATCTTTCAGGTCCATAACTTTGCCTGTCTTTGGGAGTGTTGGGGGAGCTTTGCAGGTCATTGATTTATTGCCTTTGCAGTACAGTGAATTTTTCCTTTGTTCTTTTATACTATATCTTGCTAATTATATATAATTCTTAGGGATGTGCATGGGCAAAAAATTTGGTTCCGTTCGGAAATTCAGGTCAGTAAAAAGAAATTGTCTGCTTCGGCAATTCGGACTAATGGCATTCAGTTTGGTTGAGCACTTCGGTACTGCTGACCGTCATCACTATCCGTAAGCATCCGAATGTCCGAATGGCATGAAATTTGCATGAATGTACATTTGGAACGAAGTGAATTGCACATGTCTATTGCTCATTTCATTGGACAGGGTATAATGAAACCGGATTGGGCAAGCAAGCATTACATTGCACAAAATGAATTAGCTTTTTGGTCAAGATTCCTGTCATCATTCACGTAATTTTCCCTCCCTCTCTCTTGTTTTGCCACTTTTCAGAAATCCGAATCACTTCCGAACTACCGAACTTCGGGGCTTCGGCACTTCAGACATTCGTAAGCATTCAAATATCCAAATGGCATGAAATTCATACAAATATACATTTAGAACGAAACAAACTGCACGTGTAATAATTCTTTAATTTGATTATATTCCCAGAGCTTTAGTGAGTTCTAAATAGTTAATGAATAGATGCTAATCTATTCCTTTTAGTAACAGTAACAGTTTAGCAGTGTCTATGTGATACTGATGTGGTTAACAAATCCTACATATAAATTAGTATTTACTTTATTATGTTTCTATTGCAGATTTAGCTATTACTCACTCTTTTCAGTTTTATTCTCAAATAAGGCCAATTTATTTTAAATTATTACTGTTTTAAAAATGCCAACCTGTGTTCTATTTTACATTTGCTGTCAAATTTACTGTACAGTTGCATACAAATATTTTTTTCTATACTGAAGGTCTTTTAATCCATGTGTTAATTTTCTGTTCTCTTGCATAAACTGATTATAATACTGTCATTAAACAAACTGATTAATGACAAGGATAAAAGGTTTCAAATAAAGATTTGTTATGCATTTTACTAATTGAAACACATTTCTCTGCATGAAACACTTGAAAATAATAAAATCTCTTTGGTTAAGCTTTATATCACTGACTGAATATCACATGCAAATACTGCAACGACTATTAAGCATTAGTCAATAATACATTCCATACGATATTAAACTTAGTATAGCAGGAACTTAATTTAAAACCGGTTTTCACAAAGCAAACACTGACTAAGAAAAAAGTAATACTTTTATACATGTTCCTATTATCCTTGAGGGTGGGGATACAACCTACTCACAACCTGCCTATACAAAAATAATTATGTGTATAACCCCTGCTGTTTCAAGTTTCCTTTTTTAATCCTTATTTTTATTTCAGCCTTTAGATCGTAAGCTCATGTGGGCAGGACTCTTTTCACCCACTGTCCCATATGTCATAAATGTTTTCTTAGAATTAAATGTTTTTTTTTTTGTTTGTTTCTTATTGTAGAGCATTGCGAAATGTGTTGGTACTGTATAAATAATTTTAATCAAATCATGCAAAACTCTTATTGCCGAAGCTTAAATAAAAAAGGATTTGAAAAGTACAACCTAGAATGTGAATTTATAGTTGTGCTGCATCAGCATGCACCAATGTTGTGCAATTTCAATTGTTAAAAATTACTTTTTATATTAAAGGGACACTATAGTCACCAAAACAACTTTAGCTTAACTAAGCAGTTTTGTTGTATAGATCATGCCTCTGGGGTCCACTGCTCAATCACCTGCCATTTAGGAGTTAAAAAATAGGTATGTGCATGGGCAAAAAATTTGGTTCGGTTCGGAAATTCGGGTAAGTAAAAAAATGTGTCCGCTTCGGCAATTCGGACCAATGGCATTCGGTTCGGTTTGGTACTTCCGAAATTCGGGACATCGACAATTTGGAACAATTTGGTAATTCAGACCCTAACCCCTATCCCTACCCCTAACCCCTAAAGTCTAACTCCTAAACACTAACCCTAACCCACTTCGGAACTTCAGCAATTCCGAACTTCTGCAATTCTGGACTTCGGCAATTCTGAACTTTGGCAATTCGAACTTCGGACATTCGTTAGCATCCAAATGTGAGAATTGCTTTCGAATGTACTTTCGAATCAAAGTGAGTTGCACATGCCCATTAAAAAATACTTTATATAGTCCTGCATGTGACTTACACAGCCTTTCTAAATACTTGCTGTAAAGTGAGTTAAACTTCCTTAATTGCACAGTCTGTTTAATTTAGAATTTCTTGTCTCCTTCATAGTTAATAGCCTTCTAGACCATGCAGCGGCCCTCATGAGTAATTACAGTTTAATTTACAGAGCAGGATATAAAAACTTCTAGAGCATGTTATCATCTGATTGAAAATGAAACAATTTTTACTGCAGACTGTGAGTGTCACAGCAAGGTGTGGCTGGGTCTGCATAAACAGAGACAAAAGTGATTTAATGGCAGAGAATTAAGCAGTGTCACATTCACTGACGGTACCCACCTGTCCCAGGGCACTCGCAGAGAATTTTCTGGCATTCCAAGATGGTGGCCGCTGCATGAGGAGTCTGGTCTGAAGTCAGAGGTTGGAGGAGGCATGACTGAGGGGGCAGAGCCAGGACGATGATGTATCCAAGATAGGGCTGATTCCCATAGTCAGTCACATTGACCTCAGGAAACTCCTCTAACAAGTGAGACCAGGTTATGGGATTAAGCCACTCCTTTAAAGCAGAGCACACCTTTCAGTCATTGCTTGCTTATTTTGTTGCCTCTCTCAGAACACCTAGCGGTTGATTCCCTGTGTTTCCTGTCCTTGCTAGTTTTCTGACTTGGCCTGCTCTCTGGATTTTGCTGATTGCCGCCAGTCCTGACCTCTGGACCATCTGATTCCTGCCTGACCCTCCTTTTGATAACCTGCCTTGGATTTTCTGTTTCTTTATTAAAGCCCCCGTGCCATCACTGACCTGACAGAATCCTGTTCTCAACCTCAGGATCTCTGTGGATAATGCTTGTAAGGGAGAGCTGTTACTGCACCTGAGTTCCAGGGTGCAGTAACAGCTTACTACAGTGGGTTGTTACAAGCAGTGAAACTGCAGCGGCATGATCTGTACACTAAAACTGATTAATTAAGTTAAAATTGTTTTAGTGCCAATAGCATCTGTTTAATATAAGTGTTTTTGTTTTTTTTTTAAAGATTTTAAATTTTAGACATGTGCTAAACACTTTTGTGTACTTTGAAGTTAAAGGAATGATCTAAGCACCAAAACCACTACATCTTAATGAAGCAGTTTTTGTGCAAATACCCAGTGTCTTTTCTCTAACTGTGTAAAACAAGCATGTCAAACTCGCGGCCTGCGGCCCACATGCGGCCCACAAGGACCATCTTTGCGGCCCAGCGAGCCGCGAGTGCATGCTCAGTGTTATAGCAGAGTAGGCACCTGCTTTCCACACATTGCAGGTGCCTACTCTGCTAACACTTACCCGGCCGAGGAGGAGGGCCACGAGGGAGCACGCTGACTGAAGTGAAGCCGGGCGCCGGAATATGATGTCATATTCCAGCACCCGGCATCACTAAACCGCGCAAGGGAGCAGTGAGGAGCAAGAAGGACCCCTGGGATATGCCCCACACCAGCTCCATAAGGTAAGGAGCAATAATGAAAGTATGTGTGTGTAAGTGTGTGAGTTTGTCTGTGTGTGTGTGTGTGTGGGTCTGTCAGTCAGTCAGTGAGTATGTGTGTGTCTGTCAGCAAGTATGTGTGTCTTTCATGTTATGGGCATGTGTTTCTTTTTTTTCTTTAGTAAATTAATTAATTAAACGTAGTTAGAACCTCCCTCAAAGTCCCGATCACATGCACGAAACATGTTGTCCTTAAAAACTGGGTCTATTAAACAGTGAAATTGCATTTTTACGCTGTATATCATGTTGTCACAGCTATAATGTGCAGTATAACAAACTATTTTATAAGTGTTGTGCAAACTGTTCATTAAAAGCCAGTGGTCTAGCAAGCTATAGAAGATATATTTATTTATTTATTCTTCAAAGCTCTGACCTCAATTGGCAAAGCAATATTGTAATGGTGTCCATTGCAATCTGCTATCTATATCTGCTGCTCTCAAAGATTCTGAATATGTTCAGAGATTTCTTGGGCAATAATAAATCCCCCAAAACAACAACTTTGCATTTATACTAAACCTGCCTGTTATAAATGGATTCTGTATATTTTTGTCATAAGTACTTGTACTTAAATCTGTTTAACAAAGCTGTTTATATTATGACTGTTTATATTGTGACTGTTTATATTGTGATAAAAAATATATATATTTTTTATTATTATTATTTATTTATTTTAACATTGCTTAACCCCTTCAGGACGGAGTCAATAGTGTACATTCTGATCAAAACAAAACGTAAACAAAAACTGGAATTTGTACTATATGTCTGTTCAACTGTAATTCCCCGCTGTCACATTAAGTGCACCCACACTTATTATATATCATTTTGTTCAGGAGAAACATGGCTTTAATGAATCATTAACTATTCATATATGGAACATAATTTATTATGAATAAAATTAAAAAAAATGTGAGAAAATAAGATTTTTTAAAAAAATTTGTATTTATGTCTGACATTTTAGCTGTGAATGTCATAATACTGTTAGGTTTTACTGCAAAAAAAAAAAAGCACATATTTGTAATCAGCGATGTCTCACAAG